AAAACTAGAGCAATCAAGGTATTGTGGTATTAGCAAAAAGAGAAACATATACATCAACAAAACAGAACAGAATCCCGAAATACACATACCCACATATTCATGGGTGATTATTTTTAAATATAAAGCAGACAATGAGGAAAAGATAGTGTTTTCAAAAAACAGTTGGATGCTCATATGGAAAATAAGTTAATTTTGATGTCTGTCTTATACCAAATATAAAAGTTCACCCAAATAGAACTAAAGATTTAAATGTGAAAGCTACCACTATACAATGATAAAGAAGTCAAACAAAAATCTTTTCACTTTTGGTATACGCAAACATTTTCTTAAGCCTCAGAAAAGACTAAGAAAAAATGAAAAAATTTGACATCAAAGTTAGAACACTTTCCCCCCAAAAAGTCAGTGTTAGGAAATAAAAAGATAAAATTTTTTTTGCAAAATGTCTGTGTAACTGGGCATTGTGGTACATGCCTGTGATCCCAGCTACTTGAGAGACTGAGGCAGGAGAATCACAAGTTCAAGGCCAGCCTGGGTAATATAGTTACATCTGTCTCAAAATTTTTAAAAACAGCTGAGGATATACCTCTGTGACAGGACATTTGCCTAGCATGTGTGAAGGGCCGTGGGTTCAATCCTCAGTGTTACAAAAAAAAAAAAAAAAAAAAAAAATTAAAAAAAAAAAAAAAAAAAAGGTACGTGTGTCTACAAAAACACACATGTACATACCTGATAAAGGACTAGCATCTAGAACACATGAAAGGGCTGGGGACTTAGCTCACTAGTTCCATTGTTTGATACGCAAATGCAAGGTCCTGAGTTCCATCCCCTGTACAAAAAAAAAAAAAAAAAAAAAAAAAAAAAAAAAAACCCAAAACCCATCTACTAGAAAATGAAAAATCTCATAACTCAGAAAACAAACGCCAACCCCCAAAATGGACAAACATAAGAACAGCCTGTCTGTCACATGAGCCTAGCATGGGTGACTTATCATGACCATGTGTCAAAAGGGCTGGGAATGTAGCTCAGAATGAAGGCCCTGGGTTCAATCTCTGGTAACACAAAGTTGTGGTATATTCATACAGTAGAATACTGCTGAGCACTAAGAAAGACCAAACCACAGTATTGACATATACAGTGCTGACACATCATGCTGATCAAAAGAAGTGAGACACAAAAATTTTTCTAAATCAAGTTCAATAGTGCTAGAAATACGTTCAGTATTTGAGACAGAAGATAGGAGGAATTACCTGCAGAGGGATGCGAGGGAACTTTTGGAAATGATGGAACTGTTTTATATCCTGTTTGAGGAGGATTGCATATGTGTATACATTTATCAAAACTTAGCAAATTGTACATTTAAGGTAGCTTTATTTTATGCAAGTTTCTCCACATTTAGGGTTGATTAAAAATTTTGGAAGGGATCATATCACTATAGCAGTTACTCCAATAAATGTGAATGTATTACATAGTGCCAGTAACATACGGTCAGAATAAGAAGCATAGCCTAAATAGGTCTTATTTAGAAAAAACAAACTTTAAAATTTGATAAAGAAAGATAAAGCCAGGCATGGTGGCTCATGCCTGTAATCCCAGCACTCTGGAGGCTGAGGCAGGAAGATCGCTGTAAGTTCGAGACCAGCCTGGGCTACATAGTGAGTTCCAGATCAGTCTCAACTACATAGTGAGACACTGTCTCAAAAAACCCCCGCCCCCCAAAAAAAGAAAGATAAAAAATGAGTTGGAGAAAGATCGAGGACCAAGAAAACAAGAGCAATAACAGCATCAAAAAAATCAGTGGTATTTATTTATTTGGTACCGGGGATTGAACTCAGCACCTTGTGCTTGTGAGGCAGACATCAGAAACACTGAACTAAATCCCTGGCCCCCAAAATTAATGGTTATAATGATAGATAGGGAGGGTGAAATAAAATTAGGTGAGTACTTATACGACAAAAGGCATAATTTATAGGAATCTAATAGTCATGAGCTTGTGTGAATAAATAGCTAAATATGTAACGAAAAATAATGTGAAATATGTGATAGTCTGGTCATAGTGTGACACTTTAATATTTCTAGAATTAGATTTAGTAGATAAAAATAAGAATATAAAGAATAATGTATTCAGCAAATAAATATATATGCATATAAAGAATAAATGTTTTATAGTGTGAAAAACTATAATAGTACATAAGATCCTAATGATATAATTGAAAATGTGAAATAGGAACAAAGGGGCTAAAGGTATAGGGAAAGCGGGAAGTATAGGGGAAAGGTAATAAGGGAAAAGAAAAAAATATGAGAAAATGAAAAAATGGAAATGAAGTGTTTGTAAAGGGGGAGGGGAGGAGAGGGTGAAGGGAGGGCAGGGACAAGGGGAAAAAATGAGAACCAAGACCTGTCATGTAAAGGTGCAAAATCCCAATGATGAATGTAACTGTACTGTATACCTAAAATGTACCAATAAACTCAATGAGAGGAAAAAAATGAATAAATGTTTTAGGCTGTGTGTATGGTTTTGGGGTAGGGCACTCATCTAACATACTCAAAGTCTTGGCTTTGATCTCCAGTGGCTCACACAAACAACAAAAAGTTCCTACAATAGGTTTTTAAAAAATGTCCAAGGAACTTTGGTTAGTTTGTCAGTGTTCGAGGTACTTGACCATAAAGAAAATTTCAATAGATGGGGAAAATTAAGAATTTTATATTCTACATTATTGGGTAATAACAGAAGTAAATTAATTATTAGATGATTTCTCTGAAGCCTGCCACCTATGGAAGGCTTCTCTATACTTCCTGTATTTATTTCCACTGGAGCATTATCCTCAGTGTATTCTTTTTTTGTTTTTATTGAGTTTATTGGTACATTTTAGGTATACAGTACAGCTCAGTGTATTCTTGAACTGAGAAATTGGTAGTATCAAAGAGCTTATTCTATTTCTGGCCTTATATTATTGAAATGCCTTTATGTTTCAATTTGGTGCTTTTGTGTGACTGCTGATGAACTAGGCTTAGTGCCAGGCAGTACTCACATCTACACCTAGATCTCATCAGTGACACTGTCAAACTTGACCTGAAATTTTAGGTTGATATTTTTTATTTTCTCCTTTCAAATCTGCTAACTTTTCAGTAACTGCTGGACTGTTCACTAATATACAGGAACTCTCAAATTAAAATAGGCAAAATTTAAAAGAAACAAGAACACTGAATACAGAGATAATGTGAATAGCATATTCTCATATATTGGTGGTGCAAGTGAGAATTGTTATAGTTTGTTTTTTTTTTTTTTTTTTTTTTTTTTTTTTTCATGGATTTAACCTTTCTCCCTTTTTTTTTTTTTTTTTTTTTTTTTTTTTTTTGTACCAGGGATCAAACTCGGGACCTTTTGCTTGCAAGGCAGGCGGTGGGAGAATTGTTGTAGTCTTTCAGAAAATAATTTGGCAGTTTTCTTAACAGTGATTTTTTTTTTTTTTTTACTCCTTTTGGCCCAGTAATCTTCTTCCTAAGATTTTAGTCTTAGAAATAAAAGCACAAATAAGGCAATATGTGAGGGGTATTATAGCAGTATTTATAATGCCAACCATCTGAAAAACAAAAGAATGCTAGTATGGGACAGGCAGAAAATTGATACTTCCATAGGTCAGAATATTGTACTACATGAAAATGAATGAATTAGGCTAATGCCTACTTATTGGAGAGATTTCCTCAAAGTTTTGTTGAGTGAGAAGAGAAAGATGTAGAAACGTATAATAATTGCGTAACCAAAATTTGTTTAAGAGAACTACATGAATGTCGTAGGCTTATGAGAATGAAGAAAAATAGTTAATAATGCTTGCTGGTAGTTAAATATTTGTCTTGGTTGGGAGTAGGTGGGAATAATTGGAGAGAATAAGCCATCTAATTTTAATTTTCCCCATTTATTGAAATTTTCTTTATGGTCAAGCCTTTATGACAAAGGGGAATTGTTCTTTAGTTAACACATGCCTATGAGCATATCTGCATTATCTGTACAGTTTTGTAAATGTGTATATTTAAATATATTAAGTAAACATTTATAGTACTGCTTTTTTTTTTTTGGTCCCAGGGGTCAGACTCGTGACCTTGTGCTTGCGAGGCAGGCGGCAGCACCATTGAGCTAAATCCCAAATAAAGATGACCTTGTCTTGCAAGCGCAAGGTCTGGAGTTCAATCCCTGGTACCTAAATAAAGAAATAAAAATGACCTATTTCTTTTCTAAAAGTGATACTGTTTGCTGTACCTAAGTCTGTTTATATGTTCATAGAAACTCTTAGAAGCAAACCAAGCATAGTAGAAAGCCATTAAACTTTTTGAGCCTACACACACACACACACACACACACACACAAATGGGAAATTTATTTATTCATAAAACTAAAAGTCTAAAGTAAAGTGGTTTCTGTGGATTGTTTGTACTGTTCTTCTTTGTCTTCCTTTGATTTGCATTTTTGGTGCTGGCTTTATATCAGGTTTGTAGTATGATAGTTACAGTTCTTCCAGCTGTAAAATTCAGCCATAATAAAGTTTAGAGAAATGATGGTCTCACTGGGCGTGGTGGCACACGCCTGTAATCCCAGCACTTAGGAGGCTGAGGCAGGAGGATCGTTGTGAGTTCGCAACCAGCCTGGGCTACATAGTGAGACCCTGTCTCAAAAAACCAAAAAAAAAAAAAGGAAATGATGGTCTCTCTTTGAATGTCTGTTATTTAAAGGTTGGGTTGGTTTTTGGAAGCATTTGCTGGATTTAGGTATGCTTTTTGTTCATCTCTGTTGGTTAGTATGTTTATATTTACTTTTTAGGTATGTAGCAAGTCTGCTTCATTCAAATTTGTGCACTCATTGAATATGACTGTTATGACTATTTTCTGTTATGGTATACATTAATGTACCCAATCTGCCTAATTTGTATTATGTTTCACACTAAGAAAGATTAATACATAAAATTCTGAACACTGACCTTTTTTTTTTCTCTCAATTTAAATTACAGACTAACTGGATCTTCTGGTTTTGTAACAGATGGACCTGGAAATTATAAATATAAAACGAAGTGCACATGGCTCATTGAAGGACAGTAAGTAGAAATAGTTAACTTTTTGATACTTTATTTATAGGATAGAGCTCAGTGTTGCATTGCTTTTCCTACAAGTGAAATTAACAACTTATAGTATAAAGTACTGAAGTTATTTTTTATTTAATAACTTTTCCTTTGGCAAGTGAATGTTTTTATTTTTCTTAATTTTCATTGTTAATTTTTAAAAACAGTTTCAAGTTGATTTAATGCTTCAAATGAGTGGTAAATACCAGAAATTTGTAAATTTTCAACTATAATAGTTTCCAAGGGCCAGGGATTTCGCTCAGTGCTGCCACCACCTGCCTCACAAGTGCAAGGTCCTGAGTTCGATTCCTGGTACCAAAAAACCAAAACAAAACAAAAAACAGTTTATGAGACTGTTAAAGTGTTTTTAATGCTTAAAGCAGTATAAGATTATAATGCTGTGTCAGTTTTCTAAATACTATTTGTTTTAATGGTGCTGAGAATGGCTCCCAGGGCCTCACACATGCTAGGGCAAGTGCTACCAGAGCTTTATACTTAGGCCCCTGAATGCCTGTTTTTATTGTGGACAGAAACATGAGAATAAACATGACTGCCTAAGTACTCCTTCTCTGGATCTCCTGTGTCCCCCAGCTGTTTCCTTCTTTTTGTCCTTCTTTTTGTCTTCATGGCAGACCTTTAATAAAGCCATTCTCAAACTTTTTTTAGTTTCAGGATCTTTTTATACTCTTAAGCTTTGACGATTCCAAGTAACTTTTGTTTATGGGGGTTATATCTCTTGTGTTTACCATTTTAGAAGGTAAAACCAAGAAATCTACTAATCACTTAAAAGCAACAATTATAAACGCACTACATGTTAACATAAATGTCATTTTTATGAAAAAAATCTTATTTAAGGAAATTTTTAGTTAGGAAAGTAGCATTGTTTTTCATTTTGCAAATCTAAGGCTTTTTTGGTTTTATTGTTTTCTAAAATATGTGATAAGCCAATTTAAATGTGGGTGGGAAAGTTTCAGATGAGAGGGAAATGTTAAATATTTGAAAGGTAGGAGAAATAGGTTTATCTGTTTTGGAAAATAGAAATTTCAAGAAACTTTGTCAAGATACTCAGCATAACTAGGAAGGTGGGACTAGATGGTTTGAAATGATCATTGAGAATTTGCAATTTTGAAGAGGGAGAGTCAGTGGTAGGAGTGTTCATAGAATCCAAATGCTATGTGAAGTGGTGAGCAGAGGCCAGTACTAAAATAAGTCTGCCCAGTAGTGTGACTTTTCACAGTACAGCTTAGATTTCTTTGAATTTGATCTAAGTTAGATCAGGTAAATACTTTCCTCTAGGACAAGACTTTCACCAGGCAGTGTCAGGAGAAGGCACAGGAGCATGCAAGTTTAGAAAGTGAGAGATGTGTTTGTGAAATGCTATTGTATGAAGTCTTAAATTGATTAAGGATGGAAGCAGAGAAATGGAAGGGTTAATGGATTGGTGCAGAGAGTGTTAAAGACTGGATGGTAAATAGGCTGTAAGTCTCAAAGAGTCACTCAACATATCTGTTTTGTTTCTCATTACATGTTTATTCTCTTGCACACAGTAAGTACTAAATCAATCTTTGACAAATGAAGGAATGTTGTTTATATATTATTAATTTCTTTTCTCTTGGAAAATTCTTTAAAAGTCTTTGTTTTTTCAAATGTTTTTATGATGATTAATATAAATAACCTTTTATGCTCTTTTTAGGCCAAACAGAATAATGAGACTTCGTTTCAATCATTTTGCTACAGAGTGTAGCTGGGACCATTTGTATGTTTATGATGGAGACTCAATTTATGCACCACTAATTGCTGCCTTTAGGTAAGCTCAGTCATATAACTACTAGGCAATCATTATTTGATTTCTAGATTTAAATGTATCTCTTGGATTGCACTATTACCTATAATAAAGTAAATATCCCCTAACACTTTTATTTTGTTGAATGAGTACTAGTTATGGAGTCTGTCACTTATGTGCTGATCCCAACTTGGTTTCTCTAGCTATCTGGTGGTGATAGTGAAGCTTACATTTTGTATTAAATTATATTTCTGTGAAAAATCTTAGAAGCCACGTTGATTTTGTTCTTGTGTACTCTTTATTGCATAGTTCCTTAGGAATTATTTCTTGAATTTGAATCATATTCATGTATAAGCATTATTATGGGCAAGGGAAACTTTTTCGAAGAATACACCTAATATCAACAGTGGTTACCTGCTGGGAATGAGGATTATGTATGGTGATTTTTTTTTTTTCAACAAGTACACTTTACATTAGTAGTTAAAACAATTTCACCAACTGTATGGGGTATTCTGAATTTGTTTTGGTATTTTAGTTTTTATTACTAGTAAATAGCACTGTTGTTTATTCTAAATGAGAATTCAAACTTTGTTTTTCTTCCTCTTACATGATAAAGTATTGTACCATATGTTTTTCAAAGGGTGTATCTCCTTAGGGAACCATAGTTGTTATTTTTCATCTGCAACTGACTTTTTAGATTGCTCTCCTTCAAACATTTTATTTCCTTGACTTTGAAGAAAATCAGGCCAACAAATATTTTTTGTGCTCCTCGCTTGGGGCTAATCTGGTTGATGTTCTGTGTGGGTGAGGAATATAATAAGCAGTACATGAGAAGCCAAGGGACAGGAGATCAGGAGACTGATTTGACCTTGTATTTCTCCACTCTTTTTGCCTAGAGTGCAGTCCAGCCTCTCTTTGAACTGAGAGCAAGGCTATTTTCTGAGATTTACAGTTTCACATTGTCTTAGTTACTTTTCTCTTCTTTCTGAGACAACATATTCAACTCCCAAAGTTAAAAGGGAAAGGTTTATTTAGCTCACAGATAGAGGTTTTAGTCCATAATCAGCTGTCTCCAAGGCAGAGTGGCACATGACAGAGGGGCAATGAGTCGTGGTGGACAGAAGGTGGCAAAAACAATAAGGAACCTTAACAATGTCTTTCTGCCCCTTTTATCTTTTTCAGACTACTCACACTCACACCTTTAATAGCACTCACACCTTTAATCCTAGTGCCCTTGGGCCTAGCCCCACCTTGAATCAATCACACACTGTAGATTTAGCCACCTCTGAAAAAGCATGAGGCTTTGGGGGGACATCTAAACACAAGCCATAACACACATAGAGATGGAGAGGCCATCTAAGCATTAAAAGTGACATTGACCAAGTATTAAGCATGAATATCTTCATACCTGCTTTTGAAACGTAGCTTGTATTATGGCAGAGGGTACCTCAAGCTTTAATGCAAGTACAAAAACTAATGATATTCTCTAGGAGTACTTCTTAAGGATTCACTTGTTTTTGCATTTGTTAATCAGAACTCATGGAATGTGTGTTGTGTGCCAGGCATTTTCAATCAGCTCGCCAGTACCCTTGTGGGAACGTGAGCCAAGCAGTTGTACACAAACCCATAGTTCATCTGGACTATTTGATGGGCAGACACATGAAACAACAAAACAAGAAAGCTATAATTATTTTATCAGTGACATTTAAGAGAAGCCAAAGTATGTGTACAGAAAGTCGGTTAATAGTATAAGTTAATGCACTGCTTAAATTTACTTATTATATATTTGAATGTGAATTTCCTAAAAATATATTGAGAAAAGGTGAAAAATTAAACTTTGCCTGAAATACTGATGTGCAGAGCACTTTGTAAACTGCTTTCTTGCTGAGGCCTCCACAAGATGGCTTGCTCTTGGACCAGGAGCTCTTTGGGTAGAGAAATCAACCCAATGGTTATGTGTTGAAGGTCCAGGGCAGAGATAGCCTGACAGCAGATATCTCTATCAGGGCCAATAACAATAAAGAGGAACCAAACAGGATTCAGAAAGTATAGACTTTATGTCTAGGTTCTGCCCATGTCTTTGTGGGAACTTGAATAAGTCACAGTAACGCTTTGGATTTCAGTTTTGAAAACCTAAGATGAAGGTGTTGTACATTGTCTCTTTACCCCTGTGACAGCAAACCTTGTAAAGCTTTCATTGATACCAAACAGCCTGTTGTGGCACACGTACCATAGATTTACCACCACTGCTTTACCCTGTGTTCTTTTTGGGTGCATTGAAAATGTGTAGCTTATTTTGACTCTGAACTGGTGGATCACATTATCTTTTTATATATTGAAGTTCTTTTTAAAAATCAGTTTAATGAAAGTTGCATTACCAGACAAATGTAAGAATCACTGGAGCAATGTAAGACTCTTCCTACTCTCCAGCATTAGGATTTTGTGGTTTAACAGTTGCATGTGTGGAGCACCTTGTGGAGCAGGTACTTTTGGTAGGGAGCTACCAAGATTGTAGTTGTGATGGAGCAGGGAAGTGATTTCCTTCCTGAGAACATTTTTGAAAAGAGCAATTCTTTGTAGAGTTACTATGACTTTAAAGAAAGTCATGCATTGATGAGGTTAGACATTAATGATAATAGAGGAAGCCTTGTGAAAGGAGAAATCCGCCTGTTTGCTACCCATTTGAAAACATGGTCAGACTGCCTGCAGCATGCTTAGAGAAAATAACCAAAGGAAGACACATAACTCATATTCTTAGACTCTTCTTCACCAGGCAAAAGTATAGACTCTGTTTTATTTCCTAACTGCCAGGGCTCTGACCTCTGACTTTACCAATCTGCCTTACTTCCTACATCTTTTGACCCTGGAAAAGCACATAGCATTGCAAGGAGACAAACATGTCAAACTGAGGATTACTAATAAATTTACATAGTATAGTTGGTAAAGTCGTGTGTTTAGAAAGCTCATATTTGTCTGGGACATTTATGCCACGTTTCAAGTCTGTTAAGAAAATATCTAGTTCTGCCAGGCATGGTGGCACACGTCTGTAATCCCAGCACTCTGGGAAGATTGTGAGTTCAAACCCGACTTGGGCAACTTAGTGACTTAGCAAGACCCTGTCTCAAAATTAAGAAAAAAAATTGTTTTTGTTTTTGTTTTTTTGAGACAGGATCTCACTGTGTAGTTTAGGCTGACCTTGATCTCACTATGTAGCCTCGAATTTACAGCAGTGCTTCTGCCTCAGCCTCCCAAGTGCTGGGATTCAGGTGTGTGCTACCATGCCTGGCTCAAAATAAAAATTTTATAAAGTGCTGACCCTGGGTTCAGGTTCCCAATATGTGCTATCAAAAAAAAAAAAAAAGTTCTGTAGTTTTCAAAAACAGTGATGGTCTGTGTTTGAAATATAATAGTATGAACAACCAAGGGCCAATAGTTCTAGATTTGCTGAAGTTGAACAGTTGGTAGGGGCCTAGACTGCACATACTTTTATATTGGACCTGACACCTACCTGGCTTCCACATACACATATTGATCTCCCTAGGGGAAGGGGTAGGGAGCCAGACTGCTCCTCATTCACAGCTGAAAGACATATCTGTAGTATCTCTTCATCGTCTACATGCTTTTCCTTTTCTTGTGTTCTGAATTAGGCTATGTTTGTGTCCATTTACTCTGTAAAAGTTTATTTTTTTCGTAAAACTGTTGTTTTGGTTTCAGACTGGGAGAAGTCCATCAGCTCTAAAGCTGTCACAGTTTCAAGTTTGAAGTTAGTAGAAACCAATGCCTCTCTGACAGTGAGGAAGCTGGCCAATTCATTTTCTCCAGCTTCATGTAGTTTGTTACAGTTGGTAGAATCATTCATCTTGTACACTTGAATGCTCCATCCATATAAAGACCATCAGCTATCACATAATTGAGCACCTATTAGTGTAAATTTGTGCTTCAGGACCCCACACACTGTACTAGCTTGATCCTCACTATATCACTATGAGCTCTGTGGGATTTCTCCTGTGTAATTTGAGGAAATTGAGACTTAGAAATATCAGTGCCTAACCCAGGAATATGGAGCAAGGATTGGAATTACAGGTAACTATCCTTTTGTCCCTATGACTAAACACACAAGACAAAACAACTTTCAGGAAGAAAAGTTTATTTATTTATTTTTCATTGAGTTTATTGGTAGTTTTTAGATATACAGTACAGTTACATTCATCATGGAGATCTTGTACCTTTACATGACAGATTTTGCTTCTCATTTTTTCCCCATACTCCTGTCCTCCCTTCACCCCTTCCACCCTCCACTATTTACAAAGACTTTGTTTCCATTTTTTTCCTTTTCTAATATTTTTTCTTTTCCCTTATTTCCTACCCTTCCCACTTCTCCTCCACCTTTACCCTTTTCTTTCTGTTTCACATTATCAGTTATACAATTTGGATCCTATTTACACTTTTAGTTTTTCACACTAGAGAAACTATTCAGTATTTACACGTGTGTCCTATTTATTTCACTTAAAAGTGTGGCCTTAGTATGCATCCATTTTCCTATGAATGACTCTAGTTTCTCATTCTTTGTGGCTGAATAGTACTCCATTTTATAGAAAAACCACATCTTCTTTATCCAGTCTCCAATTGATGGTCATTTGGGCTGTTTCCAAGTTTTAGCTATTACAAACTGTGCCGCTGTAAACATGGGTGCACATATATCACTGTGGTATGATTCTTTTAATTCTTTTGGAAAGATACCCAGCAGAGGGATGGCTGGGTCAAGTGGAACCTCTAATCCTAGTTGTTTGAGGTATCTTCATATTGATTTCCACAGTGGTTTCAACAGTGCACTCCCACCAACAACGGAGAAGGGTTCCTTTCTCCCCACAACCCTGCCAACATTTATTATTGGTTGATTTCTTGACAGCAGCCATTCTTTCTGGGGTAAGGTGGAATCTCAGTGTTGTTTTCGTCTGCATCTCTTGAATGACCAGTGATATTGAACATTTTTTCATATATTTCTTTGCTGCTTTTACTTTGTC